TTTTTTATACTTTTGACACTCATTAGACTCATAATCGTCCACTGGAGCTACTCTATAACAAGAGATAAACACTCCATTCTAAGGGATGAATAATAATTAGGTACTGCTTGGCACTGTGCTCTTTACAGGTCTAATTTTAGAGCATAATTAATCCTGCTGAAACGGCATAAGATAAGTGAAATATTTATGCAGCTGTGTTAATTCATGTATTTACTCCTAGAGAGACATTCAGAATTGGACATGGCTTTCCGGGAAGATTATCTTAAGATGCCCCCTGGAGCAACGTCATTTTCTCTTCCATGTCTTTGCTTCCAGATGGCCTCTGAAGATGAAGCTGAAAAGACACATTTCCCAACCCTAGCAGTGTGACTGGGAAAAGCAATGAGCCAGGATATAAACTATCTATAAGAACCCAATGCTCTATATGTGAGCATCTTGAGCCAGGACATAAACTATCTATAAGTACCCAATGCTCTATGTGTGAGCATCTCAAGCCAAGACATAAACTATAAGAACTTAATTCTCTATATGTGAGGATCTCCAAATGCTGCAGGGAAGGAGGTCCCTGTTCAGCACCACAAGGTAGTATCTGGGATATTTATTACCTAACTGTATTATTGCTAATATATCACTGACTGAGCTACACTGAACATGAGCATCATACAGGGATGGTGATGGTAGATAAGGGAAAAGATGTTGAAGAGAAAGATGGTGATGACGATGGTGGTAGAAATAAACACGGTGATTATAGTGATGTCAATGCTGATGGTAATTATGGGAACTTATGGTCCCATGATGCTGGTGTTTCTGATACTAATTCTGGGGATAGATGGCAATGGGAATGATGATGGAGGTGCGGTGATGATAATTATTTTGAGGCTGATGGTATAGATGGTGGTGATGGTGGTGGTGATAATAAGGATGAAAGTGATTGTGATTATGCTGCTGATGTTGATGCAATTATAATTATGACAGGGGTGGTGGCAGTGATGATGACGACAATGATAGTGTTGATACTGATGCTGATATTGTTGGTGAAGATGGTAGGGAAGTAATGGTCATGATGGTGATAGTGATAATAATGAGGATATTGGTGGTTGTGGTGTCGATGGTGTTTTTACCGATGGTGGTGGTAGTGATAACAAAACTAAAGAAGAATATTTTGGTTTTAGTGACTGTGATGATCATATTATGAAAATGATGATGATGTTAATGATGATGGTGATGATAGAGAGGATGAAGTTCACAACTTACGTTTTTGAGCCATATTATGCTGTAGGGTCTGTGCTAAGCTATGATCTTTACACGTATCCCCTCATTTCATTTTCCATTTTTATCATATAAAAATATCTGAACCTACACACAAATGAGTAACTGAGGCTAAGAGGTAATTTTACAGAAGTATTTGTAAGAAGAGCAAACACAGATTTATTTCAGATATGCACTGAATCACTTCTTCCTGTAGTGCCTATTAACATCAAGTGTCCAATCAATCAACTTTTCCAGACATCTTAGAAAAATAAAAAGAATAGGACTTTTTCTTAACTGGATTCTTTCTGAAGTAGAGATATCACCACTTACAGGAAAGGGAAGTTGCAAGCCCCTTGAACTTCAGTTTCCACCTTTGTAAAATAAAAATGAAGAGGTGGTTCTGGAGATAAACTAAAGAATATATGTAAAGCATCAAGTATGTTGATTGACATACTCTGTTTTCTAAAGATGTCGGCAATTTCATAACAGATGCTACAAGAGTGACAACAGCAGCGAACAGGGCTGGAGTTAAAGCTTTCTCATTTGACAGATACCCATCACATTTAAACACTTCCTGTCAAATGAAATCTAGCCTGACACCAAGCATTCATCCATACACGTCTTTATGTACTCAACTCTTCATTGACCTCTTACGTTCAGGGTTCTGTGGGGACTAGGTCAGCCTATGAAGAGGAGTGAAAAAATTGGTCCAGTGGCATCACAGTGTTTATTCCCCTTATTCTTTCTCTTCCCATAAAGGAATATATGCCCAATATTTTGGGTTTGGGGTGTGTCATCTGACCTGTTTTGGATAGGAGAGTATTAGAAGACAACCATGGAACCAAGCAGAAACACCCCATGTCCATACACAGCAAAGTGCTTCATTTGTGAAGAAAATACCTTCTTCCAGGTGACTAGTAACAGCCTGTCTGAGGTCCATAACCAGCATGCATGTGCAGAGGTCACACACTTCACTCATTGACTTCATCTCCATCAAAATCATCCAACCCTGAATCCAGGCTTGCCCACTCCATTTGCACTTCCCTCAGAAAAGTCAAGGCATCTTGTTGTGTGCCTCTGGGATTTTACAGCAATAGCTGACCAACATAGCCACAAATCACAGTTACACAGCAGAGAACATGACCAGTGATCCAAGGAAGAAACAAATGCCCTGGAGAGAATCCTGAGAATCAGATGTCCTTATTTGAGAGGTAAATATAAAACACATTTGAAATGTTTGATGGTAAAATGGTGCCAGGTACCATAAGAGTAACAGAACTGTGCTGTTTTCTGGGATTTTGTTTTTTACTTTTTTATTGTTTTTTTTTTAAATGGAGTGTGCTGGATGTCTCTACAATTTTGTTCAAATGACTGCAGAACCTGGAAAAGCTGTTGCTGCTATTGATGCTTAACATACTGCTATTATTGGTCTTTTTATATAAATATAAATATATACATATATAATTTTTGGAAACTTTGGCTGTGCTGTCTTTTTTTTTTTTTTTCGAGACAGGGTTTGTGCTGTCAATTTTGGAAAAAAGTATCCCAGTTTACCGTGTTGAGTTGGTATTGTACAGAAGTTAACAGCCATATTGGTCTAGAAATGTTGAACTTAATTTTTTTCCATTTGTGAAAGGGTAATGGTATTAAATATGTAAGGCCTTATCTACATGGGTTTGATTACAAAAACTAATAAAGTATACTCTAAATAAAAAACAGTAGAATGTTTGATGGCACTGTAAAAATTAAGGAATTAGCTTTGTGAACTGAGAAAGAAGGAAAGCTACAAAGAATTATAAACTCCTTTCAAACCCAAACCAACATGTTTATAAACCTTTGCAAAACTCCTATCATGTTTGACTACAGTGGTTGCTATATTTTATCCTCTCAGCTATACACAGCATGGCACAGTCTGTAATGTGTCTGACAGTATACTCCATCCATTTCTGTCCTATGCCCTGAGCTTTTGTGTCTTGTATTGAGGGAGTACCAGCCTGTGCTCTATGCTGGCATTCTAATTCCTGTCTTTGCATCAGCCACCCAGATAGAAACTATGGCTTGGAGGGCAGGACATTAAAAGCCATCTCATCATGCTAAGAGATGTGGAGAGATTACCAGCTGCTATGGTTAAATGTTCATGTCTTTCAACCCTGGGTCCCCATCTGGTAACACTGTTTGGGGAAGGCTGTGGATCTTCTAGGAGGGTAGAACTTTGCTGCAAGAAGTAAGTCACCAGTGCAAGGCTTGGGGTTTTATAACCAAGCACCACTTCCTGTGTGTAGAAGCAATGTGTCCTACCTCATAATCCTGCTGCCATGTTGGGCCTTAAGCTGTTTATTGTCTGATGTTTGGTCACTACAGTGAGAAAAATCAAGACCCAGCCATAGAATGGAGAAGGGCAGGAGGAAATACAATGCAGTCCCAGATAGCCCCGATCTCATTAGGCTGTAAATTTGTGAGAAGAGGAACTGCAGTTAGTTTGCATATTAGGCAGCAGAAGAGTGGAATTCTCATGGAAAACAGGGGGGCTCTTCCTTTTCTGGGGACTTCCTTTTCTTCATTCCTACACAAGAGACTGAGAATCACCATGTTAGCGGAACCTGACTTGCATTGCAATCTCTGCTGATAGGTCCAGAAAAGTTTTCCTTTAATTCAAAACTCACGAGGAATGCTTCTCTAAGTTGGAATATAGGGAAAAGATATTAGGACTTAGATAGTGTGTTGGTTAATTCTAACTGTTTACTTGACACAGCCTAGGATGACCTAGGAAGAAAGTTTCAACTGAAGAATCATCTTGATCAAGGCGTGTCTGTGTGGGGTAGTCTTGATTGTTAACGAAGGTCAGAAAACTCACCCCAAAATGTGAGTAGTACTATTTCACAAACACATACTAGAGCTTTGTAAAGAGGAAAAAACTGGCTCAGTGTAAGAAACCAGTAACTCACGATGGAATATCCCCTCTCTGCTCCTCACTGTAATGTAGTTAGCTCCTTGAGCTCTTGCTTGGTTCCCTCCAGTGATGAACTGTGATGTGGAATTGGGAGTCAAATAAGCCTTTTCCTACTTTATATTGTTTTTGGTCATGGTGTTTTATCCCAGCAATAGAAATGAAGCTAGAATGTTATGGTTTGGATCCCAAATGACCCAACCCCAAAAGGTCTTACGCTAAATGCTTAAGCCCTGAAATAGGAATTCTGGGAGGTTTTGAATCAGGAGAGCTGTAACCCTAACAATAGCTCAACAAACCATTTATGGATTCATAAGTTAATGAGCTACTGGGAGGTGATGGAAAACTTAGACATGTGGCCTGTTGGAAGAAGTGGGTCACTGGAGACATGCCCTTGAAGGCTGCACATTGTCCTACTCCCATTGCCACATCTTGATCATTACAGGCTCAGCAGCTTCCCTCTACCATTAGCCTTCCTCACAGTGCACTGCTCCACCACAGGCCTACAAACAACGGGACCTTAGAGGGCAACCTCAGAAACCACAAGACAAAAATAATCTTTTTCTCCTTTAAGTTGCTTATCCTAGGTATTTTGTCATAGCAATGAAAAGCTGACTCACACCACAGCGGGGTTATGTAATGCTGTATAGCAATTGTCCTGAACCTATCCTACATTTGGGGTCACACAAATCCGCAATTTGAAGTACAAGGGGACTAGCCTGGGTATTTCAAGAGATTTGTTGACATCCTTCATTCTGAGCCTTACTTTGTCAAGTACAAGGTTCCTCGGGGTCTTACTTACCATCACCAACAAATTGAAGCAGAGCCAGGTCAATCTGCCTCTTCCAGGGTGAGCCCTTCTGGAGGGCAATTCCATAGCCAGTGGTGGCAAAGATGTACCCACTCCCAATGGTCACCAGTTTACAGCCTTCATCCCTCCCAGCCTTGTAATTCAAGACGGCTGCGTCATAGATGAAAGCGTCCAACTTCCTGAAATGACAAGACACCAGAGAGTCATGGGGTGGCCAGGTGCCATCTCAGGGCCCTGCTCTCCCAGCCAACGCCAGCACCTCACACAGTGGAGATGGTGACTCATGGTTGCTCCAGCCCCTTGTCATAAAAGGATCTATTTTTAATGAGGAGATAAAAGCCAGAACCTTTTCTTTTCAAGTTACAAGAGGCAGCTAAATTAAGACACGAAGAATCCATATACCCAAGTGAGTAAACAGGCAGGTTTTTTGTTTGCTAAGTGTTTGTCCTTAGTACCTCCCAGCAGTGGGGAAATGGTGGCCTGTTTAAAAGGTTTGCCTCAGAACACCATGAACCACTGAAGGACAGTAGAACTAGGTGGTGGCATGAAGCAGTGAAGAGGAATTAATCAGGAGTGAGGCCTTTTTGTTTTAAAGTCTTACATAAATACATTTGCTGTTTACATTACAAAATCATTACACAGTAACATTTAAAAACTCAAGTAATGTAGAATGGTATTAAAATTATGTAAGCAATTCAATAAGTAAGTTACAAAATTCTATAACCCAAAATCTTTAACTATGAAGCGACCTCTATTAGCATATTGATGGGTAGTCTTCTGAGGTTTGTATACACACACACACACACACACACACACACATACATACACATACACACACAGAGATACACACACATACACAAACACAGAAATACACACTAATGTGCAGGGGATAGGAAAACCTTTTATGTAAAGACAAGATGAATAGTTGAGGTTTTGTGAGCCATATGTTCTTGAGTGTAACTGTAACTTTGCTGTAGTGTGGTGTTGTGGATTAATTATCTCTCTTCCAAAAAAAAAAGTTGAAGTACAAACTCTCAGTATGTGGTCTGTTTCAAAATGCAGCTGTTGGAGATATGACCAGTTAAGATAAGGTCATACTGAATGGGCCCCAATCCAATATCACACACACACACACACACACACACACACACTGGTGTTTGCATTATATAAAGACTAGAATTATGCAGCTAGGAGCCTGTGAACAATGAGACCACTAAAATAGACGTTTCTATCTTATTCTCAGAGGCAGCATAGCCCTGCCAACACCCTGCTCCCAAACTCTGAACCTTTATAAATTTAGGGCAGCAAATTTCAGTTGGTTAAGACTGTCAGTTGAGGCAGCTTTGTTAGGGTAACCCAAGAAACCACAGAGTTCTCTAACAATCTGATAATACAGCATGAACGAGCTCAGTTCTGTTCCGCTGCAGTTTCTTTACAAGGCCTGGCTGTCCATCCACTGTAGTTTACCCTCCTTTATTTCACGTCCCTTCCAATGGATTACACCAAGTCATATCACAGAGTGCTTTCTTTTCTCATTTCACACATGCTAAGCATATCTCCATATCAATAAAAACAGTGATCTCTTCTGATAAGTTTACTTTTATTGCTATATTGCATCTATGCTTTGATTTGCTCCATAAACTCTCACATGTGGGCACATCTTTGGAATCACCATGCAGTTCAAAAGTGGGATGACAGGCATCACTTCAGAAGTCCTGTGTGACACCCCCACACTCACCATTTCCCAATCACAAGCATCATGGCATCTTAGGAATGAAGTGGCTGAACTCAATAATTACCTAGAACCCTATTAGTGAATATACACATAATCTCAAAAATTTGAAGTTATCTGAAAGGGCGAAAACTGTTACCGTGGAGCGCACTGATGGATGTTTCCATTCTAAAACAGGAAAGAAAACTACATCGGCTATTATTCAACTTCCTGCCGTGGACGCCACTTCATTGTCTTTCTTTCTCTAATGAGGAAACGTAAAACACTGAAGCAAAGAAAACAGAAGTGGCAGAAGAAGATCTATCAGGCTGCATTCTGTCAGAGGCAGCTGCTGAGGGACTCCCTGTGGGAACACAACTATTTGCAAACTTTATAGGTATGTTCATCATTTCCATTTTTCCTGCTTTTGCTGTGTTTTTGTAATGATTACAGGTAAGGCAATGCTATAGGGCTTACATAGTTTATAGAAAGACTCCAAAACTTTTATCCAAAACACAAAGTATTAATCTCAAATCCTGCTCAGAAGGGATCTGCACATTCAGTCAGCAGCAGCAGCAGCAGCAGCAGCAGGAGCAGAAAGCTGGGTGTGGCTAGTGTTACAGGTAGACCAGAGCTGCCTAGAGAAGCAGCTGCAGCCTTTCTGGAAGGGCAGCTATACAGGAATGATGGGGATAATGTGTGGAGAGCTAGAAAAGACATGAGGACTCAGAAGCTTATAGCAGTAGTGGCTTCTCGTACAACCCTTGCATAAGAATGGCCTATTAACATCCCATCACAGGGAGGTAGGGATTTATATTCTTCAGTAGTGTCGTAACTGGAAGTTGTCCTTGGTCAAGTAAATGCCCCCAACCCATGTCCATGCAAGCAATCCTAATCAAATGTAGTGGGTCACAGGAAAAGGCATTAAAATAGGAGGGGTGTGTTGGGGAGAAGAATGGGGCTTCAGTAGGGAAGAGGGAAAGGAATAAGGAAGGGTAGTGGGGTATATAATTAATTAGAGACTATATATATTAAAAAATAAAGGAAAAAAGAAAAGGTTCAAAGCCATTCATAGTGTAATACAAGCACACTGGATAGATAGATTGAGCATATATAAGTCCTAGGCTGGGCTTGGAGGAAGGCATGGCCGCAGGAAAGCCATTTTTTCCTGTTGGATGGCAGGCTCCTCAGCTGTGAGGTAAGGAGGTCATGGTGTTCTGCTGAGATTCTGAGACATCCTAAGATTCTGTAAGTCACCTCTTGTGACTATAAAAGGGAAGTCATACATGGGATACCCTGTCTGTGGTATTTCTCCTCTTTGATGAAGCTGAGGTACTTGCAATGTCAATACTTCACATACTACAGTTGCCATGGAGATACTGAGAACCTTGGTTTTATAAAGACTTTCTAAGTCTCTGCAGACTCCCTCCATTCCTCAAGAAATAACCATAAACACACATTTCAGACTGTATACTTATTGTATATAGAACAGTTCAGCCTCCAGCCCACCTAGTGCTATCCCTGACATCTGGCATCTCATCACACCCCCAGCCCCTTCTAACACACTGTTGGGATACAAATCAGAAGCTAAGCCTGGCAATCATTCAAGAGTTGTCCAGCAGCAGCTTCAATTGGTATTGTTAGGGACAAGCAATAATTCTGCAAATTGGTACCACATTTCATGACACATGTTCTGCTGAGAAAGATGAAGAAATAGGAAAAAGGCATGGCAATTCATGGCAGGGACATAGTTGGTCCTGACAAAAGCACTTATGGATGACTGGAGTGGCTGAAGAAACATATCTTCAGGGTCACAGTCACAGGGAGCCACAGACGGGAATCTGTTCTTCCTGGTCTACTCTCGTGTGTTCCTGGGGCCACAGCAGAACACAAGCAGTGCTAACATTAGAAACTGAAGTTACATAAAGTAGCTTGCTCTCTCTCTCTTTTCTCTCTCTCTCTCTCTCTCTCTCTCTCTCTCTCTCTCTCTCTTGTATGTATGTATGTATGTATGTATGTATGTATGTATATCTCCAATGATTCCAGCACACTAAGTCTAGATACAAATGGGCACAGACACCTGCATGTTCAAAACAATATCCTTTGGGCTGGAGGAGATGACTCCATCAGTAAGAGCACCTTCTATACTAACATAAAGAGCCACGTTTAAATCCCTAGTACACACAAATGTCCTTCTCTGACTGCTGCACACGCATGTACATACACAGCACACACACACACACACACACACACACACACACACATTTCATGTGTGTTTCAATATATCTTATTTTATCTGATATAAATCTCTGGTTCACACACACACACACACACACACACACACACACACACACGCAAATTCCACACAAATACACCATACACAGGCACCACACATATTCTTTCTTGTCTACAGGAAACAAAGGCAATCCCAGGGCAATTGTTTGCATAAAGCACTTGGCATGCATCACTTCCATTGAGACATCACAATTGCCCAGGGGACAGATGACATCATTCTTGTGCTTTTCTGTTTTGTCTACAGGCATACAAGCTTCTGGAAAACTAAGGCGGTCTTGGATGCAACTATGGTAGTCCATATTCTGCACCACAGGGTTCTCCAGCAGAGTGTTGTCCATGGGAGCTTCCTGTAGCAATGCAAATGTCCTGTTTCTGCAATCTCCAGTGGGAGTGACCTTTGAACTTCAGTTAATGCAGCCAGCCAAGAAATTGAGTTTGTAATTTTATTGAACTGCACTAATTTAGACACTTGCAAAAAAATGGTTGAATGTGGCTGAGAGCCAGAGGTATGGACAATACCCACCAGGTACCCTGTCATGGTCAAGGTGAAGGCTGGGATCGCCAGACTCTGGGCTCTCATTCGTGCTCACAGTCCAAAAGTTGTACTTGTTTTCTGTTTCCAATTGAAAACAGTGCTGTCATTAATAGAAAAAATTAAATTGTGATATGCTAGAAAGAGATCTTTGTAAGCTGGAGGCTTTGGATGCTGCACCTGTATTTCTGAGGCTCAGGTTTTGTTTTGCTGTGGGTTGTGTTGTGTTTTTTTCCTCTCTGCAAAAAGGAGCTGACAGTATCTGCCCTCAGAGGGCTGTTGGGAACAAAGTGATGTTATGTAAGTAAAGCGTGTGCAATGGCCAGCTTATATCAAATGCTTAAAATGCATAAACGCATTCAGTTAAATTCAGTTTATGGCTAAAGGCCCCACAGGTTTTATGCACCCTCTGTAATAAGTCCAGTTGCAAATAATTTGCCTGAGTAGGCTTCTTTTATCTATTTCCATTATTATTTTTCTCCTTATGTTTAAACAGACACATTTTTGAAAGGCTACAGAAGCCAAGGCTCTAGGTGTAGAAGGATGAGAGAATTTACCTATTGTGTGAATTGCTAATTGTCTGATTGGGAAGTTGAGACAGTGAGCATGAGCTTGACTGGACTCCATCACCCAGCTTCTAA